CAAAGAGATAACACCTGCCTAGTCAACTGTGATGAGAAGCCTAACACAGTAATTTATCATCATTAAGGGTATTTTAAAGCATATTATCTTATTAATAATCAGAATAGCTCGGTGAGTTATGCAGGTACCTTCTTTTTGGAGACAAATGACTTGCTAAAGGGTAGTCTGCCAAAAAAAAAACCAAACAAACAAACCTCAGACTCAAATGCTTCCCAGTCCTGCGACCACACAGCACAGCTACAGCTGTGCAGACTTTATATGCCTCTAATTACTTGATAATTAGAATGTGTAACTCCGTAATTTATGCTACAGTGCCAGTCTGCAGAAAAATGAGCTGTCAAACGTGACATAATTGGGTGAACAGACAGAAGTCGTAAGCAGTCAAGATAATGGTTTTTTATCATAATAAATTACATACAATTTTCAACACTGTCTTCTTGTAGTGACTCGATAAATTGAGCATGCTTCCAAAAAATATCTGCTTTACAACCCTGGGCAAAAACACCTTCTTACCCTACCAACTTATTGAAAAGGAACTAGGAAACGTTAAGTCCTAGACAAGAAACTCTTTCAGAAGTGAGCACACTGCAGACTTTCATTTTTAGTACAGAATTATGAGTCAGAGCACACACGGTGCTTTGCAAGTAGAAGTGATTCAACAAAATCCCTTGCTCACAGCATTGCTTGTGACTAGCCCTCATCGTTAGCAGACTTCCTGGTCACCTGGTACACTCACACTGTCTTCATTAAGAACATTCATAATTGCTGTAATAGTGAAATCAAGTGAATCTACTTGGTGGTTTTTTGTCTGCTGTCTGTTGTGCTTTGACAGTTGGCTCTAGCTATGTTTTGTACTGCTCTAGGTAGCCAACTGCAAGTCTGCTTCCTGAATGAACTGCACCATACGCTGCGTCTATGCCCATTTCCTTCAAAAAAGTATATTTAAATCAAATTTAAATCTCAGCCAAATGAAATGACTGAAGGTGACAGCTACTTCAAACTCAGCATCTCATAAATTGCCCCTTAGAGCTAACTTCTCTATGTCATTTCACTGACACTGCCATAATCAGGAGTTAACCACGGTAAGTGATTTAAGTGGAATGACATTATACCAGGAGTCTGTGATTTTAAGGTAGAAACAGGAAGCTGGCAAAGAAACCTGTTTCAGGATGCCAAAGTCCTAAAATTTCTACTATAAAGCTCCCTCCAGAAGACACAGTTTCTCATACACGGGGCACAAGCAGCACAACTATTAGACACTTAGGCTGTGGTATAAGCTACAGCTTCTCCTTCCAACTTCAGTTTGAGCACAAACCTGCTCTTTGTGTTAAAAACAGCCAGGTCAACTATGGAACAAGACACAACAAATTTCTCTTTCAGTTACCTGGGGTTCATCTCTTGCTCTCTTCTGCTGCTTGGAGGGCTAGCTGGGCATTGGCTGGGGAATGGTGAGCAACTGCTTGTGCATCAGTTGTTAAATATATATATATATATATAATTATTATATATGTCATAATTATTATCCTTTTCTCTATCTTAGCAAATAGTTTTATCTCAATCCAGGAGTTCTACTTTGTTTTTTTTTTTGTATTCTGAGCCCCATCCCGCTGGGAAGAGTGGGAGTGAGTGAACAACTGTGTAGCATTCTTATTATATAATTACATATATTTTATATTTTTTTATATATATATACTTATTATAATATGTAATTGATGGGGTAAATTATTATTTTTGGATACATGTACATCAGGAAATATGCACATCACCTTACTAAGGCTAACAGTTGCTATTTCAAAACTAACTGCTGGCCAAAATAAGTTTCCGTAGACTAGAGCAGTAATAAAATCACAATAAAATCACAGTAAAGTGCTACGTTCCTTCTTATAGATCAGATGTACAATTTGCACACAGCTAATAATTCAGCCTTACTGTCATCTCCTGACTGTGCCCTCTTGGCCAAGCAGTAAGAATGCTTTCCTAATGCAAAAGACAGAAGTAGATGGAGAGGGAGATACGAGGTGGAACCATCCAACTACTAACTAGAACACTACTCACACTTCTGATGAGTCAGTAATTTTAACAAAAACACCATATGTGTACCAAAGAAATCCAAAATGCAGGTCATATTTAACTGGGCTTTTAGTTTATATATGAACATACAGATAAATGTAAAATTTGAGGTATAATATTATCATTATGTTTAAAAAACTTCTTACTTGCACACAATAAAAGATAATGCCTGTTGTAAGAAGTATTAAATATGAAGAGGTAAGACAAAGAATGCCAGAACAGAGAAAGCCACAGTGAAACCTGGTTCAGTGACACACAGCCATTAGGGAACATTTCTTTGCTCCCAGGTTCAGCAATTTGCTGCTTGAGATTCCTGGAGCCAACTTCACCCTTCATTACTTTGAAAAGGTCTTTATTTAAAGCTAGAGTTTAAAAAAAAAATATTTAGAAACCTTCAATCTCTGTATGCCTTGGAATATTGAAAAACTTGGAAAGAACAGGTTTTCATTTCTCTAGACCAGAAATATTTCAAGGTGGATTAATACATAATTCAAACAGCAAGACAAGACATCTTTCATTAATAAGCTCATTTTCAACCCTATAAAACTTCAGACAAATACCTGCACTTCCAGACCACCAAATCATGTTCCACATCAGCATTCAGCTATTGCTTGGTTCCAAATTGTGGTAGGGAACTCACTTTGAAATTTTCCTTTAGCAGTCAAGGGATAAATGCTATAAATATGTCTGACTGCTAGATTTTCCTGCAGAATAACTTGTTTTTGATTTTTACTATTTAGTGTTAGCATTGGGAGAGGTCTAAATAAAGAAAGAACAGCAATCTCACTGCAACAAAGAGCTGAGTTAATTTATGATTTAAACTGTCGAAGGCATGAATGATATTACAGCTGTCAGAAAGTTACAAAAGATCGTCTTATTTGAAGTCCTTAGCTCTGAGGCATTTAAATGTCACCAGAGAAAAGCTCTTATTCTCCAAACCAAGATAGCATCATCCACAGCTGGCTTTGCACTGCATGCTGTCAGCTGTCAGACTCCGCTGACCTGTAACTCCCGGGTTAGCTGAACATAATGTACATCTGTTGTCTCTGTTGTTCCATATGATGTATCAGTTACATGTGACAACAGGAGGGGACTTCTTCACATCTACATGAAGCACTGCCTCATATATAACAAGTTGATTCCTTAGGGTACGCCAAAACTCCCAAGGAGAAATCGCTATCACTCAACTTTATGACTTCAATTCAATATCCTGACATCCACAGCACAGTTCAAAGTAATGTGGGGGCAAAACTGAACCAAAACAGAAACAATAAAACAAGGTTTTCAGTATTCTCTGTGCCTTTCTTAAGAAGAACAACAAACCCTTGAAACTGAATAATAAATGCAGTAGTTTTAATCATTCCCGTATTATGTCAGTGTTTCCAATGGTTTGAAACGTGGTATAAGACACAAGAACAATGATTTCTCTGTGGAAAGATATAAAACCTTACTACAAAAGAAGAACGCATTACTGGTTTTGATTTTGGTAACAGAAAGAAAGACAAGGGCATATGCTGGTTTTAATTGACTGTTTTGCTTCTGTCATTATGAGCCAGCTTTGTACTTTACGGCTTCTTTGATATTCACCTCCTGCATTTTGCTAGATGCTACCCTCTCGCCCTGGCTCTGCAGCAAAGCTCCCATCTGGCTATCAGACACCTGTATGCAATGCCCTACACAGCAGAGGTAAGCGGTATCACAGCTAACTTCCCTACATTAACATCAAACCACTACTTCAGAAGAGCAGAGAAGAATGAAAAGAGAGAACACGTTTATCACGCTTCATGCTCATCTCCCTCAGTGCCCTAAACCTTGCTTGATCAGTTGCTGTTTGACTCTGAGAGGTAACGTTAACTGATGAAGATCTCTTAGACCTCTGCAGCTTGACTGATATTTTAATTCCAGATCCTCTCACCTATGCTCTTGCACAAGGTCTAAATATGGACTTCTTACGCCAGCGGTGAATCTTAAACACCTTTAGAAAAGCTTAAGCATGGGGGTGGGAATCTGAAAAGTAGGAAATGAATCAAAAACATCTATGTACCATTCCTCCTTCTCCATTTCCTGAGTATGTGCCACTAAATGGTCACAAAAACGTTCCAGTGGAGCTGTAGCCTTCCTGTAAGTTAGGGATGGACATTCCACAGGGTCACAGTAATGCTTCTTGAGGTCTGCGGCCAAACACTATAAATCTACACGGACGTAGCACAATCTTAGTAACACTTCCACACTGCAAATCTCCTTTATGGATAGTATGTGTAAGTACTTAACAATGCATTTCCTACTGAGAAATTGAATCAATCCCTCAAAAGGATTTGTTGAGAGCCTTTAAAATAAAAATATTCTCTCTGGAGGATGAAAACTTTAAAAAAAAAAAACAAACAACATAGCAGCTAACAGAAATTTTAGAAGCCTGTGAGCTATAGAAACAACACATACTACATTACATGCTCATCATCCTTCAATTATCTTGTGGTTTTCAACAGCAAAAATTTAAGTGCTCTGATCTAAACAGCAGTTACCACAAATTAGCTATTAAGTTTCTTCTTTCAGAAGTGATGATTGATATTTAATGGCTTATTTTCACTTTTCAAAGCTACTCTTTCATAATTAACACATCCTCAGGTAATTTAAGATGGATAGTTTTGGTGACAAGTAGAGTGGCCTCAGTGGAAATACTGACAGTCAGCCTTGCCTTCATGTATCCTGCCCCTGCCTCCCCGCACAGATGTGGCTGTTCTCACAAGCAACACTGCACAGAAGGATAGCTGGAAAAGTTCCTCTTTATGAATTCTACTGCAAAGTCAGCACAGCTATGGTCTTGGGAAAATCAACGGCCATGGAGCAAGAAGTGAGCTAACTGTGAGCAAAAATCTGTCTAAACATCTGCTGGCTGTAAAAATAAACTTGCATTTCTTTCAGAGCCTTACCTGATACAGAGACTGTGTGAGACCTTACTCCTTGCTTCTCATTGTTGGCCAGCCTGTAAAACAGAGGTTTGAATCGCTGAATGCTGTACATTCTTCACGGTCACATACACTGTGAATTCATCCTAACAGGGCACCTACTGTAATTAGCAGGGCCAATCCATTTTCCACAGTGACACATTTTGAGGGGGAGAAAAGTCAGAAAGGAATCTACCACTTCAAACCCAGCTGGGGGAGTGAGAGAACGTGTTACCATTTTAATTAGAAAGCAACTTGGCAACAACAGAACAAACTTTAAGAAAAGCAAGAGAAACAAAACTGTTAAAAGGTTTTAAAGTTAAGCAGTGCAAGTCTAAATGTTGCCACTGTAGACAATCCGATGGTCATTCAGCTTTCTGTATTCAGTACTGGAAACAGAAATTATGAATTGAATTCTTATCTGTAAGCTGATTTATTTTATAGAGCAATTTTAAATTGATTTGCCTATCAAATAAATGAAGAAAAACAATTACATTTAAACTGTTTTTAGATATAGAAGTTGATTACTAACAAATTTCAGTGAATTCTTCCAGTAACTTGTTTCACATACATGTGTATATATAACCATAGTTATAATGTTATGAGAGGAGTACAGCAATTGATGCTTTGAGAAATCTGAAATTTCATCTGCAAAGGCAAATCTTTCCAGATGGTGCTGGCTAGTACTTTAATACACTTGACAAAAGACTATTCCCCTGCTGTCAGCTGAAGAGCATATGTGGTGCTCTTGTTTAAACAGACTCAACATTACAGTATTGGTAAATTGTCCCAAAAATGAAAAGAAGTTTCTACTTCAAACCTTACTTTATCCTAGAAATCCCTAGAAAAAGAAAAAAAAACCAAAAACATTGAAGTGAAAATTCTGTAATTAGAAGGTTATTCTGTTTTGCTCAGTTTGTTCAAGTAAAACTTTTCATCTCCAATGTGAGTGCACACTGTTTACCAATCTTACTGCTTCCTGAATTGACTTTCATTTGCTTTTCCTCCCTGTACTTTATCTCTTCTCTTTCTGCACTGTGAGCAATCTGCTACCTGGCTACTGAGGGCTGCAGCAGGACCTGTGAAGGAAGAGTATCCAAGTGGCTTTTTTCTTGCTGAATCAGGAATAAATCATGTTCCATACTGCATTCAGTAGTTTAAAAAGTAATAACAAAAATGGTAGGCTCACTCTAGGAGTTAAGGAAGAAACAGAATGAGGTGGCTGGATCAGAGTAGTACAGTTCCTGATCCCCAAAGGAAAAACAAAGAAAACACAATAAACTGCTAAATTTCTTACAGTTTTTCAATCATTATCTCTGGCTACTGGATACTGCTTGATAAGCCTCAAGGAAAACAAAGAATTATTAGATGCAAATACCTTGGATAGAGTGTCACCATTAAACGACTCAGAGGAAAAGAAATCAGATCTATGTGTAGATTAAGATTTTCAACACAATTATTATTGCGTATGTATTTTGATACATTACTACATTTAAAAATAAAAGATCAAAAACTGTTTGCTCTATGAACGCTACTCTTTATCATACTTGAACCTGGAAATTCCAACTCAGACTGATCCCATTATGGAAATATGATTTGGAAAAAAGAAAAGAGACATAAAAGATTAATTATAGGGAGAAAATCTCTGTATTTTGCGTAAGCAGTAAAGCAGACAAATAGGAAAACCAACATTGCAGACTGATCTACAGAGAGGCTGAAGTGACAATACACAGACTGTTAGGCATCATTCCTGTAATTAAATCTACCCATGGACTCAAAACAAATAGCCTGAATCCCAGTCAGGCTTTTTCCAAAATATCCTTCTTTTGTTACTGTCAAGTATCATCAATGCACTACGAGTTTTCTTCCCTCAAATTTTATTTGTGGTATCTATAGCTTAATGCTGCTGTCAGGCATTTACGCCCCATGGTTCCAAATGACTGCCTGCTATTTGTCCTAGAATCCAAAGGCAACAATAAAAATTAAGCATGTATAAAAAGTGCGAAGTGTCTCTTAAACAAAACAAAACTATTTTTGAAAGCATTTTTTGAACTACATATATATAAAAAGAAAGTATTAAACTCACTTTGGTATTGATGGTAAAGCTCTTTCACCTTCTGTATAAAGAAGAAGAAAACAGAATTAAAATTGTATTTCAGTTTCCAAATGACCTCTCTCAATGTCCAATTTATACAAGGCTGAAATAGTAATCATCACAACCTTCCAGGGAAATTGTGTTGACTCAATACTTATATCAACAGCAGCACACTAACACAGTTCCTTCCACTAGCAATGCATGCATTCTGGCAAAGTCTTATCTAAGAATAATAATGTATACAGAATATGAGACTTTTTTATTCACAATAAATAACTCTGATAAATTTCATCTCTCTACAGAGAAATACTTCTCTCATTTCCGAGACGTGCTAACCATACATACAGTACACATGTATATACAGTATATAAACATATATGTATTAATATACCACACACACAAGAACAGAAATAGTGAAATCAATGTAGACTTCCAAACAAGATTACTAATGTAAATCATCAGCTGATATAAATCATCAGCATAATATTATATAGCATATAATATTAACTTCACATTTGGTTGAAATTATACACCAGTAACGCCCAGAAGCCAGAGATGAGGCTGTCTCCTTATAAACTATCTTCAAATTCTCTGCCAATCTTTCTTAGATAATGGCCCTGTGTATAAAAGCTTGGATAGAAATCAAGTATTTTGTCTCATATCTCTTTGATGAGACACTCATTACACATGTGGAGGAGGATGGGGAAATTACTAACCCTTCAGTAAAACACCAACAATTTGAAGTAGATTGAAGTATGCAGGGAAGGAGAGAAAGAGGGCAATTAAAACAAGCATCTTCCTCCAAATCACTGTAGCACAGATAAAGTGTCCTGAAAGAAATGGAAGAGTGTGGCCAAGGGCTGCACACCCTCCTCCCTCCCCACAAAACAAGTGCACATCCTCCAGATCCAGCTACAAAGCTACTGAGTTTGGAGACTGGAGCAAAAAGAGACAGGCTCAATTTTAATTGAAAGTGTAGAAGGGCAGGACGGTCCACCGTAAAGTGCAGAAAGGAGAAGAGAGCTGCACCTCAGGGTCAGATGAGGTTGCTGCAAAGGAAGATATAGGAAAGAAGGGAAACAAAGAGCTTTGATTTTTGGAGATGACATAGTAGCTTTGCAAACCATATGAGCAAGCAGCTTGGAGCTGGAGGATGGAAGAAGGATGGAAGAAGCAAGTTCCTCCAAGAAGCATGAGGCAGAACAGGACAGAAAGGTATTGTAAAATGTTAGAGGAAATAACTACCAGTTGCGTAGAAAGAAAAGTCAAAGATCCAGAAAAGTACTGTGGTGGAGTGACAAGTACAAGAACATAAGCCTGAAGGCCAGAGCCTGGCATCAAAAGGATTGGAGTTGAAGGGTTAGCCAAAAAACAGAGACTAGAATTGGCACAAGAGGGATTCACACTGGATGGAAGAAGACAAAAGACATCAAGCTTGGAGAAACAGGCATAATAGCCCTGCCCAGCACCATGCAATCCTCCCTAGGATTGGGAATAAGACTCAGAAGCTTAAGTGCCATCTGATATCTCCTGATACTTCCATCAGCTGTCAGTCTGTGAAAGTATCCTGTATTCCAGCCTCCATAACTTGGTAGTTATGATGCTGCGGGTTACTCCAACACCTCTCCTACATTTGGCAATGAATTTAATTACTGATGTAACAGACCTGCAGTACATTGTTTTTAAAGGCTTAGGAAATGACACAAACATACAAAACTCCATTTTAACTCAAGATAACTGGAGTACAATTAATCAACTGCTATTCAAACTAACTAACCTTGATATTGAAAAGGCAGTTTAATCACATATTAATTACACACTATTCAAAACCGTCTTCTAAAGATGGAATTTTTAATTTCCTCTTTTGTGTGCGTGTGGAACATATCAGTATCAGATTTCAGGGCTTGAGAAACAATTCTGTAACACAGCAGGACCTGAGTGCTTTGTTCAAAGATTTCAACTGCAGATAAGATTGCTTCTCTCTCCTGTAAACAGACTCGACACCCTCTACAAAGAAAGAAACACAATATAGGTGGCAACTGGCAGTGTAAGCTGAAGTCACTTGCTACATATCAAAAAAGAGCTAAGAAATAAATACAAAAATCTAACTTTGCAGGGCAATATTAAGTTCCCTTAAACATATCTCCTACTCTGCTTCTGCAAATCCCAACTTCACTTACTGAACAGCATCTCACTGGTGTGCAAAAAATAAAGCAAGGATCATATCGTAACATCTCTCAACAAAATCCTGATTCTACTTGGCAAGAAACCCATTTACGGATTTTATGAGATAAGGAGAATGTGAAGAGAAGGAGAGGTGGAATTACATAGCTGACAAGTAATAACATCGAGGGATACGGATTGATCTGAGATTAAACAAGCATTTCATAAGACTTTGGAGTTTGTGATTTGAATAGCATTCTGTTAGTACATCTATGCTTTCACGATTGTTATGCTTTAAGAAAGCTGTTGTATTTTCACCTTCAGCCACAGAAAGCAGGGCATTAAAAAGCAGACAACAGGAAGAATCAACAGCTCTAAAATGGGTAAGACATAAACGGCAGACTAACTGCTCTGAACACAAAAGCATAATTCTGATGATGCTGGAATGAATAACTATGATGGAATTGGAGAAAGGCAGTGTGCATGAAATGCCACCTGGTGCAGCACTGCATTCAGCTCTGAAGCCCCCAATATGACTCTGATCTGCTGGAGCAGACAGATGTAGCGGATGGCCATGAGGATGATCAGAAAGATGGAGCACCTTTCCTATGGAGACAGACTGAGAGAGTTGGGGTTGCTCAGATTGGAAAAGAGGAGGCTCCAGGAAGACTTTATAGGGTCATCCAGTATCTAAAATAAGTCTACAGGAAAGGTGAAGAGGGACTCTTTCTCAGAGTGTTGTGATAAGAACAGAGGTAACAGCTTTAAACTAAAAGAAGGAAGATGTAGATGAGATATAAGGAAGAAGTTATTTTCTGTGAGTGGTGAGGAACTGGAACAGGTTGCTCAGAGAAGCTGTTAATCTGCAGAAGAGTTCAAGATCAGGTTGGATGGGTACTTGCCAAAAGGAACTAGTGGGAGGTGTCTCTACCCATGGCAGGGGGTTGGAACTGGATGATCTTTAAGGTCCCTTCCAACACAAAGCATTATCTGATTCTATGAGAGTGAAAAAAGATTTGTCCAGTGCAATAAAGGTGTAAGCAACTGTAGATAGCTATGAGATGGTGCAAGAAAATGATGAGGATGGAGAGAGGAAAGTAGAGACTCTAGGACAACTTAAACGAACGCTCATTTCCAGATTGGTTAAAAAAAAAAGAGGCTGCATGCATGGCTTCTATGTAACTTAACCCCCACTATTTCTGATCATTTTTCCTGTCCTTGGGCTGCAGAAAGCATGAGTGATTTTATTCATAGCAATAGAGCAATGGCCCCTTACCCTCTTGGTTGATGTGGGAGCAGAAGTGGACAACATGGCAGCCCTGGGGAGAAGGAAGGAGAATGCAGAGCTGCTCAAGAGCAACATCTGGTATAAAAGTGCTATATAACATTCTTTTAAATGAAATCATTGTTTGTTTGCCTTCTGTTAATATATATACTAATACAGATACCATGCAAATAAGTAAACCTGCTCCATTACACGCATGGATTTATTTTGCAGTAGTGCCTACAGGCAAACCACAGCGCACAGCTCAGCTGAACCTAGCTCAGTAGGACAGAAAGAATACCAGATATCTTGCCTTGAAAAGTGCTTAGTGAGTCTAGAAGACATAACAACTGATGATAAGCAAGTCAGTTCAGAGGGATTAAGGAATTAGAAAGAGGTGAAAATAAAGCACATCAGTTTTCATTGCCACTTGAAGCAATAGTAAGCTAGGACCCATTAGCCCTGTTTGTCCTACACGGCAGCTGCATGCACCATGGAACAGGTTATGTTAACAAGGACACAGTAAATCTTGCAGAGATTTTGGTTGGGAGCTTTTCCCTTGATAGTGTAAGACTGGCATAGAGAAAAACAGAGTAGGATTTGGCAGAGAAATGGCAAAAGACATGACTGGGGCACAATCAGTGCCACAATGAACAGCAATGGAAGATGGTGAATTGGATAAATAGAGCTAAGACTTCACAAAGACCTTAAATGCCTGTGGAAATCAGCAGGCAGCAGTATGCTTTTGAATTAAGAGCACTTATGTGTAGATAAGAAATGGAAGCCACTCCAGTTGCGAAGAAACAAGCTGATAATTGCACTGACAGCAGAAATTAAATGGAGCAAATTTCTGAAATATTTCCAATGCTAAAATGGCAAGAACTGGACACTGTCTACATTTGTCAGTCAAAGCTGACAAACCAGCAGTCCATTGGTGGTACTGGAAGGAAAGTTTTGGGGAGTGAATAACGAAGACTGTAAGAAATCCCAAATCAAATTTTTCAGAAATGGTAAGAAATTGTGAATATTTTTCAGACAAAAACAGGCATAAAAGATGATTTCTCAGAGGTATAAAATAAACAAGAAAAGCAATGCCAACTTTATTGTTGGAAGAAATATAAACTAGCATTATTACTGATGCTAGCTTATCCTTTTGACATTCAGTTTGGTGCCAACGGTTCATCATCACTGAATTGCATGCAATGTTGGCTAGAAGAGTGGAATCTGTGTTGAAAGGAGTATCTTCCTCTGTATGGGGACGAAGTCGCGTGACTAATGCAAATTCCAGCAAAGCTGCATGTTGGAGCTACCAGTCAGTTGCACACTTTAAGAATCAAAAGAAACAAACACCCGAATTTAAGAATAACTTGAACAATCTTGAAGTGTTATCAAAATGTCTAACACCCTAAAATCATGTTCCTTCATTACTGAACTATCAAGTTTTCGCACGGTTTTTTTTTTGCTGTTTTTTTTTCTTTGCTTTTTGCTTTGTTTTGACAACAGATGTAAAGTTCAGAGCCATAGGATGCTAAATACAGAACTAGGAAAGACATAACTATGTCAATAACACTACCCCATCTGAACTACAGAGAATAAAATACCAGTGGTACAAGAAAGCAAAAATGTGGCCGTAAAAAAAAACTTATGTTCAGATTGTAGAGCTTCTAGAATGGCTCTGTGTATATTCTTGTAAGACAAATAGGGAAGGAGGAAAAAGTTTATTGTTTTAGAAACCAAAACTGCTGGATGAATTTCCGTAATCAAGGATAAATACAAAAGGACAGAAGTTTCTATTTAAAGGGGCTTTGACTGAATAAATTTCAAAAATTAAAACTACTTGAAACCAGAAAAAAACTTCTGAAATTTAATTTAATTATCCCTTTACATCTAGCTGTAGCTGCACCCTTATCCCAATGCTTCCATCTTGTAGTTTGCTATAAAAATAACTACCCATCAACGTATAAAATCCATACTTTGCTTTAGCTCTGTTTCATGAGATAGGCTCACAAAACTTCTCTCAAGGTTTAAATAATAAAAAAAGAGAGATTTTGAGTACCTGGGAATAGAAAATTGATCTTCAAAAATTACAACTAATTCTATCCGAATGATGCATTCTAACCAACACCTCCTGAATTTCTGCTTGGGTACTGGTGTATCATTTCAAGGTAACAGATCCTTGTTAAGAGTGCCTTTAATTTGCAGTGGGGAGACACTGACAGTCAGTGTATTCCGTAGCAAAAATACCTCAAGTTTCATTCTAGCAAGACAACGTTCTCCAAATGATGACTTTGAAGCTTGTGTCTTCTGTTCAAGCACAAGATAATCTACCAGTAGAACAGAGCACAGCCAATACCAGAATGGAACATCATCTTACCTTTCTGTGGCCTGATAATAAAAGATTGCGTGGCTCCATTCACCAGTCGGCAATATCCGTCTATCAAGTCAGCCATATTCTCTGCAATGGTTAAGGATGGTGCTGTCACTGTCAGAGGCTGAAGAAGGAAAAAAACAAGGCACCAAACAAAGAGGTATTATTGTAGTTGCAAACACTGAGTAGAACAGCTGTGTCATTGCATCAGAACTTCACATACACTCGCGAACAGTAAACAGAAAAATGTGAATAAGCAAAGAACTACCAGATTCTTGCTTTACTTAAGATGTAGCACAGCTGAAAAACCCTCCATCCAACTGTAAGATTGATATGGGACTAGTTACTGGCTTGCTGGGCAAACGTCCAGTCAATCACTGATCATTACCATGACTTTAAAGCTCTAATCATAACAACTATGTAGAAGCTACTTATTCTGTACAATAACTTACCTTAGATCATAACTGCATGCATTTTGATATGTTGGCTAAATACAGTCCTGTGAACATGGAAAAATATACAGCCTTGCCTTCCATTTTGATAAAGAAATTTGAGAACAGGTTTCAAGATTGCCTGAAAATCATCAATTTATGTCTGTGACTCCATTTGCAGCCAATATAAATATATGAACCGCAAGTTTTCAAATGCAACATACACAGTTGCCATCAGATACCCAACACAAAAGTAATCACATCCCTTTACCAGATTTTCTTAAGCCCTACCTTACTAGAGAAAAATATCCTTTCCTTCACAACCATACCTTATACAAGTCACCATTTTTTGCCAGTATTCATATTTGTGAACAACTGTCAAGGAAAGTATAGCAAGATTAAATATCATCAAAAATCTCTGATGAGTCCCTTGAGACCTCACTAAGAATTGCAACCATTTCCATCAACCTGATCGAATAATCAGACTGATTAATTTCACAAAAACAAGGTCAAGTATCCCACTGATTTTATGTTTTTGATCTTTTTTTCTAAACGTTTAAATAACAATATTAAAATTCAAAACGTTTTGCTGCTTACATATTAACTATATTGCATATTTTACGAGGGCTGCTCTGAAAGTAATGCCTCTTGTTTTATGATGTTGGGCTGTGATGTCAGGTGCAAATGCTGGGTACTGCAGCAGAGATGCAATCTTCCCACCAGTATTCCCTTACGTTCTGTTGCCATGTGAAGATGGCAGCAAATGGGCAGTCTGACTAAATAGCATCTGACATGGAACTGCATATAAAGCAAAGGTGTGTCACTGAATTCCTCCATGCAGAAAAAAGGGCACCCACTGACATTCATTGATGCTCATGAACGTTTATGGAGACCAAACAGTGGATGTGAGCACAGTGAGGCGGTGGGTGGTGCGTTGCAGCAGTGGTGACAAGACTTCAGTACATCTCCACTGGTGCACATTTTTACGAGCACAGCATGCTCCTGTTCACTGCTGGTGAAGATGCATAGCTAACAGGGGTGACTGTATTGAAAAATAGCATTTTGTAGCTGAGAATTTGCTATATCAAATCACAGAATCACCAAGGTTAGAAAAGACCTTTAAGATCATCCAGTCCAACCATCCACCTATCCCCAACAGTTCTCACTAAACCACATCCCTCAACACAACATCCAAACTCTCCCTGAACACCTCCAGGGTCAGTGACTCCACCACCTCCCTGGGCAGCCAGGGATATACAAATAGTGTTACCGTGCATTTTGCATCAGTTGTAGTTTTTGTGCAAATAAACAGAAGGCATTACTTTCAGAGCAACCTACCTATACGTGGCCCAAAACAATTCCTCTTCACTGTAAGTGGCCTGGCAAGTCAGAAGGTTGGACACCCATGCCTAAGGTGGTATCTTCTTTCCTACCCTTATGCAACAATTTGCTCTTTACCCAAAATGTAACCCCAACTTCAAAATAAACTGAAATTAAGAAGGGAAGAGGTGAGACATACAGGCAAATCACCAATTTTAATAACACTGATATTGGATTCATAGAATGGCTTGGGTTGGAAGGAACCTTTAAGATCATCTAATTCCAACTCCCTGCTATAGGGCACCTCCCTCTAGACAAGGTTGCTCAAAGTCCCATTCAACTTGGCCTTGAATGCTTCCAGGGAGGAGGCATTCACAACCTTACTGGGCGACCTGTTCCTGTGTCTCACCACTCTCACAGTAAAGAATTTCTTCCTGTTACCTAGTCCAAATCCAGTTTAAAACCGTTTTTGTCACTACATGCCCTTCTGAAAAGAAAATACTCATCCTTTTCACAGATTTGCCAACTTGCCCTCAAAACTTCTATTTCCCAGTGTACCAAGGCAGTGATTTGATTTCACTTCCAACTCTTCCTCCATGTAATATGAGAGAAACAGATTTTGCTGCTTTCATATTTCCCCTTTTCATAGAAGTGAAATCACTCCATTTCCTTTTCAGAGCACAGCATCATACACATAAGCAGACTGCTACTAAGATGCACCTAAGAACTGGTATTTTCAAATTAAATTTAAAGCACATAATGACATTTATGAGTATAATGAGTGCTTGCATTCAAGTACCTCAATCCCTTAAAGTACAAGGGAAATCAAACAACTACACATAATACTGGAAAGCAAAATTTAAAAAATACAGCAATGGCTGTAGCTATAGGAGGAGCAAGAGAGTTTAACAACAGATGAAGTCTTTGTATGCACATGTAGTTTGGCTGTCCTCAGCTTAAACTTGCATATGGAAACGTGAAGCATACTTTTAGGACAATGTATTTGTCAATTAGGCTGACAGAAGAAAAATTCAGAACAATGTTAAAGCCAGAATATGAGCACAACATACAAAGAGAGTACTGTAAATTAGGAGTATACAAATTCCTCTTTTTTACTTAAAGGAATATCAAAGAAATTTAGTTTATCATAGTTGCCAACTATCGTACCTCAGGTGCACCAGCTATCTTCAGTTGCAACATCCCTTTTCTGTCCTTGTCTTCACTGTTTGAATACTGAATAGTTTGTACTTGATTAAAATCTGCCAGGTGAGTTGGCTGCAGGAAGACAACAGGAAAAATGTCAAAATCAAAGCATAATAGCTTGGGTTTACTCCTGAAGCATACGTTAATTTTGATCTCTGAATCTGCAAGTCTGTTTCTCTTTCTACAATCATTGGGCTTCTCAATTTTGTTATTTTACATTTACATACTCACATATGAAACCAAATATCAAGGCTGCCTACAGAGGTCACTGTTGAGTAACTCTATGCACACGCTAAAGAACATCAGAAACAACTTCTTTGAGGTCAAAAAAGAAAATTTAACAGATACCCACGTGGTATCTGCACTAAGAGCATGGTTAGGTATCCTCAGACTGTTGTAAAAGACACATTTTTAGCTGGTTACAGAATTCAGTTCTCTAAGTAGTTTCACTACCTTTGAACGCTTCTCTTAACAGAAGCTGGACATACATTCAACTTGCATCGCGATTTTAAAGGTCCCAAACACTTTCCTGAGGCACCTTACACCATAAATACTGTAAAATGGTCAACATCATGCAATAAAAAAGCTGTTAAGAGCACAAATTAAAACAAATAAACCAACGATGACGGCACAAACACTACATACTGACTAACCAAGTTTTTTATTTACACATTCTCTCTACAAAAGGGGGGAATAACTTAGAATGATCTGCACTTTTCTTGTTAAAGTCACCACTAACACTTCAAATTCTAAGTGAGCACTTCAGTGGGTACAAAAGATAAGAAATGGAATGGCTAAGGCTGACCCGGGTCTCTCTGCTGAACCCAATTGTGTTTTCTCCACCCCAAACCATGAGTTAGTTTCTGAAGAACAGCTTTATGTATTGAATTTCCCAGCTCTTCTGAGTTTGTCTTGAACATTAGATTTGTCATTCCCTTTTGTGTGAAGTTCAAGTCACAACAGGTCATGGCTGTTAAGTCAGTAAGAGAAAGAAGAAAACAGAAATAGACTTACATTTGCACCCTTGTCTGTAAGGTAGCTGATTCCTTCCTCTGGGCCAATTGCCAGCTCCACTGAAATAATCCAGCTTGACTTCAAGTTGAAGGAGAAAGATGAGACAAATTTCAGCGTGTTTAAAGGAACGCTATCCCCCAGTGTTATCAATGCAGTTTTCAGTAATTCATCTCTAGAAACTTCTACACTCCTCAAACATTGCAAGATAGTAAAATGAAGCAGTTCTTCAAGTAGCAAAACTTCTGATGACAGGCTTCCTGGGGATCTGTTTCAATCAGTACGAGTTCCCATGTGTTCTACTTTCTCTGTTTGAATACTATATATTTATTTCCTCTTCTCTCCTCATGGTCACTGATGTTCACATTCTGATTTCTATTCAAGTATCTCTTTTCACAAAGGTTGGAGACTCAAAGGGTTTCTCAAACTTTATTTGAAATGGTAGAGATTAATAGGCATTAGAGAAAAAATTTACAAATTGAAGAGGCTAAGAAGTCTCATCTCCTCAGGAAACCAGGTAAGTAACTGCTCAGTTATCACAAATGAAAAACCAACAATTCTTATCAAACTAATATATGTTGCTTTTTAACAGCGAACTGAGAAAATAACAAAATCAATAAATATGTTATATATTCAGATTTTTAATATTTATCTACTCTATTCTCTACATCAACAGGCTAACTAAACAAGCAATTAACTGTAGAACTAAGAAAACCAATGTAACTGAACTACAACAATATCCTGGTGACTGTAGCGTTCCTCTACTTACACCAAGAGCACATTTGAAGCATTCCTTGTCAAATCTGTACACTGGAGAGAGGATCTCAAAGAATTTCAGAATACTTTCTTCTCTGTTGAGGTTGGCAAATTGTCGAAATGTTTGTTGGATTAATTTTCGTAGTGTTTTGGCCTGTGTATGAAAATGTTTAAAAGTCAATTATTTTATACCTGATCAGTGGCGGTGCATTTAAAGAGTTTCAGTTTTGACTAAACTTAGAACATAAGACAACACACTAAACTTTGCAGGAACTATTTTTTCTACGTTCTGCACTTATCCCAACATCTTAAATGTCTACCAATTGAAAAGCACTGCCATCCGGACCTGCATCTTCCTACTATGCCTTAAATTTAAATGTAGATCCTCCTATTTTGCAATTACAGAATGGCTTGGGTTGGAAGGGACCTCAAGGATCATTTAGTTCCAACGCGCCTTGGAGTTGGCAACCACTAAATAAGGCACTAAATCAGACTGTCCAGGGCCTCATCCGACCAGTCATAACTGAGCCATAGCTTTATCTTCAACTCTGCATACAAGCATCTCAGACTATCTGTAACATACTGGATTCTTAATGTACAGTAAGATCATAGAATCAGAGAATGACCTGGGTTGAAAAGGACTACAACAATCATCTAGTTTCAACCTCCCTGCTACGTGCAAGGTTGCCAACCACCAGACCAGGGTGCCCAGAGCCACATCCAGCCTGGATACACTGTAAGATTTACAAGAAAGTAAATTGAAAATTTATGTAAAAATTAAATATTTTAAATGAAATGTAAAAATCAAAACTAAGACTTATGAAAAGCCAAATATTTGCCTGAGGAAAGCTGCCACTGATTTCACAATAAATGCAGAATCTGAAATGCAATCTCTTTAACGTGCCCCAAACAGTGAAGAATCCCAAATAAAAACATCCTGACTCTAGGCACCAGAATTTACCCTGACACCACCAACAAAAGTCCAACAGCTTCTCTCATCTGTTCTAATTGCAACAGCATAAGGATGCTGTTTAAGCAGTGTAGAGCAAAGTTACTCCATTTCATCTCTGCTCACATCACATAGTGCCAATATGTCAAAAACAAACAAAACTATTGTTTTTGGTTTTTGTTTTGTTTTGTTTTTTCCTGGCCAAAGCTTGGATTGTGTCAAGTGATTGAATGGGATGTTTTAAAAAAACTACCTCTGGCAATACATATTTCTAATTCATCTTCCAACTTACAAGAATAATGAAAGGTAAAGCCATGTTTATTTTTGCAATATGTCAAGGTTAAGACAGGAATTACCATTGTTCCTCTACCAAAACATATCTGACTGTCCTACTGTAACAGCACTAAGGCTCTTCATTCTTTCATCCTTTGCCTAAAATGGCTCCAAGCACTACACAAAAATAAACTTCCTTTTGGTGTTAACACTTCCAGTCAGATTAGGCATTCAGTTTTACAACACCATGAAAGAACATTTAGAACTCTAAATAGCCAATTTTTTTTCAAAGCTAACACTAAGAAAAGAGTGTAATAGCAACAAGCAAACTTGCATAGTCCCATACAAAACAATGATCAGTTTTGGAATGACACATATGTGGGCTGAGAAAACTCTCAGCTCAACACATAAGCTATATGCTATAAAATGAACAAAGAAATCTGCTGTTTTGTTGCAAGTTTGAATTAATCTGTCAGTTTAGCAGAACCTTCTACCAGCTACCAGTCAGGATGTCTCACTGCAGCCACAGTTATCAGCACTCCAGCATAATAAACCCTTCTGTGTCTCAATAGCCTTTCCAATGTAGTGGAATCACAGAATCATAGAAAAGCTCGGGTTGGAAGGGGCCTCAAGGATCATCAGGTTCCAATTCCCTGCCACATGCAGGGCCACCAACCTCCTCATTTAACGCCAGACCAGGCTGCCCAGGGCCCCATCCAATCTGGCCTTGAACACCTCCAGGAATGGGGCATCCACATCCTCCGTGGGCAGCCTGTTCCAGCACCTCACCACTCTCATAGTAAAGAACTTCCACCTGACATCTAATCTAAACTTTCCCTTCTTGAGCTTAAAACCATTCCCCAAAGTGGAAGTTATCTACCTTTCTTAGAGAGAAAAATGAAGTTATGGGAACTTTTAGCTTCACCTGGACACCTGGCAAATGCTAGGAGGAAGACACTACAGTAGGTAAAAAAATCTGCTATGTTGAAGTTGTCTCAAGTATTGCAGCCACAGTTGTTGAGAAATACTTTATTCTTCTCATTATCCGCTTTGCTGGATTACTGCAACATCAGCTTGACTTCATGCATACAGGGATACATTATTTGTCTCCTTTAAGTCAATGAAGAAGACCTGCTATTGCCATATAATCCTGACCTAAACTTCAGATCATTAATAAGATACTTAGAAAAAACCTTATTCCATTAGAAATTTTTATGAGAAATATCTGCAAATGACTTCAAGAGAAATAAATCTAAAATGTATTACAATATTTCACATGAACAATTTTTTTTCTCTGCTATTTTTCAAGGCATGCTGTAAAGAAACAGGAAAATAATTTGCAAACTAAAAAGAACCTAGTTAATATCCATTCCCCCTGCCCACTGCTGGTTTAATGGAAGCAGGTATTTTCCTCCATACAAAGGATGTATCCACACAGATGCAGTTAGTACGGCACAGAAGTCAGAACTTCCCAGAGGCACTATTTACTACAGTAAATACAGGAAAGCTTATTATTCTTCTCTAGTGAACCAATGAAAATGGAAGGCCAGCTGATTCAGTAACTTTTCCTGTGTGCTTCATTTAGACTGACCTATTCTTTCTTGAACGTGAATAGCCAAGTGCTACTAGCAGGGTACATGTGATACAGGGCTCTGTGCAATGAGCTCCCTCTTTCATTTTGGAGAGAACTCCCTTGGCACCTCAGGGTCAGCACTTGCTTTCTTTCACAACATCATTACGCTCTGTGCTCAGGCAATATGCCAATATATCAAATGTCTGTGCTCAGGCAATATACCAGCATATCAAATGCCTGCTTTTTGAACTCACGTTTGTCTTCTAATACTTTGCACTGTTAAGTATTTTAAATCTCATCATCACAGCTTTTTGGTCCTCCTCTACATAGGGTGAAACGCTCTGTGTAGCTGTTGTCTTCTAAACATGTAGATCAACCAGTGTCATTAACACTGCAAGACACTGCAAGTTTTACCTCGCTATTAGTGAAAAACACTTGTTTTTATATTTAATGGCCATCAGGAGCTCTCCCTTGTCTGCCAGTTCAAAACTATTCCTCTTCTCTTCACAAACTAAAGGGCACATTTAATTATTTGGACTAATTCTAACTTATTTTTAATAGGGATATCATTTTCATTAAAAATCAAGACTCATTTTTCCATCCCTCGCTTTTCTCTTCAGATACCCAACATTTCCTCACGTCTGCACAAGTTTCTACACAGCTTCACCTTATGGCAATTCCTGCTACTTCTTCCAACCATTCATTTCTTAATTTCTGAAGAGCAATTTTCTTTGTCAGTTTTCTGGCTCCCTAATATTATTTTCTGAAGCATTTATTCAGTCATTTATGTCTGGAGCCTTTCACCACAATTTCTCCCTTTAGTGGTTCCAGATAATTGCTTAAATTAAAATGCAGACGGATTACTTAAATCCACTTGACTTCATTAGTTTCTGATTTTCAGAATTCTTTTGAAACAAAATCCATTCATGACAGACCTTTGCTGTTTATCCTACCATTTAAATAACAATGAATAATCTTCATAAATCTGAAGCTAAATTCTATTTGTAACTCCTCTATAAAACCACCGCTGCTTACCAAAACGAGCTCTAAAACAACAATTTATGATTTATATTTGCATATATGAACAGCAGATGTATTTTACTGCAATATCCATATCTAGACTACTACAGCTGTAACACCACTTGGAGACCGTTCTTAACCCTCCCTTTTTCAGGGGACGCCAGGAAAAATTTGCATTTTTTACTCTGGGAACATATGGACTTCAATGAGAGTGAGATCTGACTAATGCTTATAGTCCCAACCAGGATTAACATAAATGGAAATGGCTGGAAATCTTCCTTGAATGAGCTGGCTACAGTCTTGAGCATGAAAGGCAGAATTTGGTTCATCAAGCTGACACTAAAAATACGCTTTTTTTTCTTATATGTCTCCATCCTCCTTCTCCAGAAGCCTCACTTCTCTTTTAAGAAAGAAAAATAAGTTATTTGGTAGCAGAAGATCTGAAGACTTGTTTTAAGCTTTTTTTTCTTCAAGGTTAGAGAGGTACTTCGCTCACATCAGCTCAGCAAGGACACGTAATCACTGGCTTGGTTCTTCCAGTTGCATGCTTCCACTTGAACCACGGAGATTTATGTCCCACCAATTTGACAGGCAGCTTTGATATTTTTTTCAGCAAGACTACAACTGCACTTACAGCTCTATACTGAAACTGATCGTGCAATTTTCAAATTTCTTAAGAGTCCATTTGTTTGTTTTTTATGTAGTTGATTGGAACTATAATTACCTTCACTGAATCTAGCAAACTCTTCGGAAAAAATCGTCTTAAACCGACATCTTTTCTGAAAAAAAAATAAAAAGCACACATTTTTAATAATAATTTTTAAAAATTGTCAGATATTAGAATACAATTTGTGAGGGTATCTTGTGTTTTTAACTAACATATGCAATACAGTAAATTATTTTCACTGTAAAGGCTTTGACAGTCAGTCTCAGAGTACCAAATGCAGCACCATTAATATGCTAACTATAGCCACAATACAGCAAAGAGCAGAATTTCTAGTTTAAACTCAAAAGGATGTCACATCCTGGTGTGGAATGCTGGCTCTGGCACAGAGAAGTTTTGAGAATAACAACCATTGACTGTAAATTTGAATAATTTAAATAATACTGAAAATAATGTTCTTACTGCATTCTTACAGCTTGGTCAGCTGAAAAGGGAATGACACAAAAATGGAAAATTCTAATAAACATCCATTTGAATTTAGTAGGAGAAACAGTGCAAAGGAGAGGATCTCTCATGATATCAATTTAGTAGATTTACCCAATGTGGCACTGTAATTAAATTTTTAAATTTCTACTGTCACTTTGTCCTCGTATTGAACATCTGGCATTACGTTTCTCAGCTTTTCAGTGCAAATGATCTCACTTCTTGCATTCACAAGTCAGGATCCTAGTTCTTTTTGCAAGCTTGGCTTCTGTAAACTAAATTGCATCAAGCTCAATTCTTCAGACTTACAAAGATGGATTTTTGTGGCTTAGGTGTGCTGCATCTACCTTATGTCTAACATGTATATGTCTCACTACCAGCCAGGGAAGTTGCCTGGGGAATTACTGCCAAAAGAGATCATTATGCAGCCAGGTGTATTGAGTGCTGCAATAAGCAAGGACTGGTTGTATGGACATTTGCAGAACATCTGCATGAGGAAAAGGAAAAACTGAAAGAAAAACGTCCTTTGGAAAGATATACCATCTCTGCCTCTCAAAGGTATAAATGGCAACTTTTTCCCAAAAAAAAAGAAAGGAATAAATTTAATCAAGAGGTTACAATCTCTTTAAACAAAGACCCTTTGCTGTTTCTCAAATGAGTAAGAATGCTTTCCATGATAGGACGCTTTGCAGAAAGAGAAACACAACTGCAATGTTTACACTTGGCAAAGCAAGAAAAGCTGTTAGCCAGCTTAAGAAATACAGAATGTATTTGCTGCTACCTAGCCATGCAAGAGGAAAGCCAAAATTAAAGTTAACATAAAAAGCTTACTCAAAAAAATGAAACAGGGTTATTTTTAAAGCTCTCTCAAAACAAACAGCATTCAATTGTACAAAATATACTAAAAACATCCTCAACCAAGAGGAGCAGAATGTTCATGTGCAGCAGTGAACGCTGGCATCTGTGCCACGACAGTAAGCTGAAAGACGATAAAACTTTCATAAATGTTAATTCCTTTGATGCATTTCTTCTCAAATGCAAATTATATGCGGTTTATCATCTCACAGTTAAATAAGTCTAACACACTATTACCATCTAAATAACATGCAAAGACATTTTGACAAGGAATATATTAGTTTAACATTAAGCATTTTAGAGAGAAATGGTGTTTTCAAAATGAGGCACCCTCCATCACTCCGTATTACTCATCTCAATGGTGCTGCAGCACATGGCTGCCATTCTGCTGCTGTTGTGGGTAAAATAAGAGTAGTTTTTGTACGGATTTGTATGTAATAAATTTGGAGGAAATTCTTATGCAGAGTATAACGAAACACAACACTTAATAAAACTTGTAATAAAGCATTTAGGTTAGGCTGCAAATTTATTTACTGTAGGAGAATTTAACATAAGAACCATACAAATTCCAGCCAAATCTACAAACAGGAGAACAAGTACTACAAATTCAAACATACAAACTGTTCTTTAAACACACAACCCTACAAACTTTCTCTCACCTCCTCAGCTGCACTGCATGGGGATAAACCAGACCAAATCTGTTTTCTAAATGCCAGTAAGAGGTGATTAGCAGTGAGATCCTGCTCCACACAGTTTTTCCAGTTTTGTATTTGGCCATTCTACTTGAGGACTTGATGTAATTTTTTTCTTTATGTAGAAGCTTCAATAGGATTAATAAAATACTAACTACAGATAGATGATACTCCTTGCCACATAACAATAAGCAGATCTAGGCAAGACATATCTTAATCTCTATTTTTCACCTCCAGGTTGCATCAAAAAATATTATTAGATTAACAGAACAGACTTGAACATGCTCTTTACAAAGCTGTGGATGCAGCTGTTTCTTCCTATAGCTCCCATTTGTGTACTGGTAATTATTCCTGTTCTATGCTAACAGGCTTCATGTTTATTATGAAAAAATTCTTCTTTCATCACATGCAGGCCCAACTGTTAAAGACTACTTAACAATTTGATTCTATCTCCCATTTCCCATCCAGATTTGGTCTTGCATGAAAATTTGATCAAAGATGAATATACATCAAATAGACATCTGACAAAGACAGGCAAGGAGCAATCACATCAAATGTGAAAAAGTGCTATGCAAGAATTGCACTCAGCTGGTTAAGTGCCTCATCAGTGCTACAACCAACAAAAAAGGGAAAGAAACAAAATGCCTCACTCGAGAAATAAATACTACTTGTGTAAGAAAACCTTTATAGGATAATTAAGGTGATAAGTTCAAACAAGTACTTTGGCACTTTTAACACTCTCTTACAAGCTTAAAATTATTATCTACAGACACTTTAAGGTTCTTTTATCCTTCATCTCTCTCTCAGAGATTTGTATGAATCCCATACAAAACACATTTTGCTTCCAAAACTGTAAAACAGAAAATAACAAAGAAGTCTGGAAGTGCACAACTCAACCTTGACTTTTTCTCCAGCACAGCATCAAGCTGTTAGATTTTGCACATCATGCTTTGGTTTCCGTCTTTCACTGTATTAAGTTTAAATGTGCAAGAAGAGTCACTGTTTGAAAACACGTGCATTGCAAGTCATTGTTAACCTGGAAGTGGCCCCATACTGCTGAGCCCTACAGGAGCTCCTAATTGTTATAATCCTTAATTAATACTGTATATCATCTGTTACGAACTTTGTTTCTTTTGTCTCACTGTCTCTGAAGTTCTCATTACTCGTGTCTGTGGTTCAACAGCTGCCAAATTACCAGCTTAAATATACTTCCCTCAAGTTCCTACTGAAATACATATAAACTGTAACCACAGCAAGCTCACAAACTCTTTCTCACAGGACGACAACATGCTCAGGGCTTGTTCAGGTCACAGTGCTTTCCTATCTTTTTATGTAACCTTTTGGCCTTTACTAACTGTTCACCTTGTTCATTTCTTGGCCCTTCTCATTTTGTTACAGGTCTCCTCACTCAGGACGTTTCTGCTGGTTTCAGCATGAAACTGAAATCCTTCAAAAAATAATGATAATCCAAACAAAAGCAGAACTCCTTGATTCTACACAGACAGAGGAACAGCATATAACATTCGCTTATGTTCGTGAATGAATAAATTAGCTTTACTCTTCATTTAGAAGGTTGAAAGTTGGGGTTTTAAACTGGAACACTGGCTCTATCATATTCAATCTGGAAGATCTGAATTCTAAAGATTAACTCACAGATTCCAACAACAGTTTACACACCCTAACATTTCTTAAGGAATTTGGATTTTATTTATTTTTACTTAATCCAATCAACCATAGAACACAGTTAACTAACAAAAATATCGATATTTCAATATACAAACATCTTTCGGCTGTCCAAAAATTTCTGCTGTATTTAAAAAAATGAACTTTTAACTGCAAGGTCACAACTCAAATCCACATACTTAGCAAACAAAGAATGATCCCACAAGCAGTTTAATTCAAACTTTACCACAGATTAGTCACAACTGAAGAATGCCAACTGAGTACAGAAAAAACATCTAGAAACAAAAAACACCTTAGAAATAGACTTGATGATCCCATAAACATTAGCAAAGTTGAAAAAATCGTCAGCTTCATGGTCAAGTTTAAACAACTTCAACTTTACTTCCCTGTAGCAGAGTTGGAAGTGTTCTTCCTACTTATATATTTTAGTTGGTTTAATCATACTTATTTAATGCACTTGAAAATCTCAACAATCTCCATGAAATAAGAAATGTCAACAGAAACTTTCTTTTAAGGACCCGAAATTAAAAATTCCTGACTAAGAAACAGCTCAAATGACATGCTTGAACACCATACTTACTCTAGCACTTCATAGTTGGATTTCTTTTCTAATGCATTGCCTCTCATCTCTCCGTAGGATCTCCTGAAGTCATGAAAAATATTTGAAAGCAACAATTATTGGATGACCTGGCCTAAAACCACAGTCAAATCTTTCGGAGACTAACATTAGAAACCATTTACAGAATGAATTCAAGTATAAATATTCTTATATTATTAACCTACCTCGAACAGATTTCTATTTTACAAAATAATTTCATACACTGGAAAATGCGTGGGACTATACCAGTATTAGAAGAACTTTAACCCACTTTAATTGAGTTACTAGTGAAAGAAGTGATCTAACCTCTTGATCAGCAGCTATCTCATAGCTACCTATTTCAGTATCCCCCCCTGCTCTCCTCTGTAACAGCACTCACGTCTCTGCATGTAATAGGGAGAACCTGACCCAGTCGTGAATGGTGAGAACCAACAGTTTCAAGCCAGACATTCACAACATTTGTTCATAAATATAAAATATCAAAAAGTAGTAGAGGGCTGGGAACATTGTTTTTACTGACAAAGTGGGCCACTAACGCAGTGTTAAGTCTTAGTAGTCACCTACTCACAGTACTTCACCAAGGCAAAAATGCGCTGAAGAACCACGACGTGCCACCCTGAGAGCTTTGGAAAGCAAAGTTTGACTGGCAAAATAATTGTGGATTATGATCTTCATGATATGTTTTGAAATATAGTACCGGTAGTTTTGTCAGCATGACTATCTGCAGTCACAACAAGACCTTTTGTTTTCTCTGTGCCTACCAGCGAAACTTACAGCAAGGACATCAGGTTTTCCTACAGTGCCCATGCAATTGCACAGACCTAAGTTCTGTTTTATTCTGGAAAATTACTGTTTAAAGGACACTTTCCTTCTGTGCTAACAAGTTCACATTTCCCATGAATTTCTCATTGAGTTTACTACTTTGCTAATCTCTCTGTGCAAGACAACAGCATACGAAAAGCAAATGTATCAGGCAGGAAATTCTCCATAAATTAGCAAAGAAAAACAAAACAAAACAAAAAAACCCATGCACTTCAGAAGCAGAACTGGGAACTCTCTCAAGGATCTATTGATCTGATAAACTTATCTTTATTTTCCAGCTGCCTGTATAGTTGACGACAACACCAAAAATCCCCAAAAGAATCACAAAGGTTTAATTATTTGAAACCAGCATATTAAGATTGAGTGAATGTAGACAGAAAAGGTAGCAGTACTTATCTTGAACATTTTTAAGATGCAAGATTTATACACGCAATTCCAGGACTGTTTGCTAAATAACACCACAGATGAATTGTTCTTTTAATGTCTTTCACTGTACCCCACAAATCTTTGGATTATTTAAATGAAGAATACATCCAACAAAGGCAAGTTAATTTTAAAGATCAGTAGAAATTGAGTAGAATGCAGCCTACCCATTTTTTGATCAAACTACTTTGAAGCAAAAAATCTGATATTCAGGTGTATTGACGAGAAATCCATGAACTATAACGAGTTACAAAATTAAAGTATATATTCTGTCAGAAATACGTTGAATAATAAATAAATAAAAGTCAGCTCACCTGATTTCAAGGCAACCTAGTTTCAAAGCAATTTCCTGGTCCACTTGATCTGCTATTTCTAACATATAGTCATTTTTCACCTACAGCAAAAAAAATGGGCATGCATTAGTTATTAACAAGAAAAGGACAAAACTAGTGCTGAAGAACTTAACTCTGCAAACTCTTTCACACAACAGCCTTTTTTCCATCAGTAACATTCCACAACAGTACAGCATTTCTGATAGCTTACACTATGCTATCATGAAAGCATAAGCTTGCTATTAAGTCTCAATGCAGAAAGTCTTAAAATATCATTTAAAAAAAAAAAACAAACAACAGAGAAACCGCAGAACAAAGAGCAGATTATAAATTATGAGATAAATACACTTTATGAAATGCTTTCTGAGTGATTCCAAGTTTAAGAAAAGCCATTTCAAAGTCATTTAGTGTAGGAGTTTCGTAGCTATAAGACAGAAAGACAGCAGCAGATTCAGCAGCTGGAGGCCCTCTCCAGTCAGCATCCAGCCAGCATCCAGCCACTAAAGCATTAGCAGGCAAAATAACAGCTGGATCAAACCCCACAAAGCAAAGCAACAAATGCATGAGTCCTTTCTGGTTATGACGCGCATGAAAATTTTTGTTATGGAAAGACGCAGAAGAAGAAATAAGAGCAACTGTGTAACAATGCAACTTCTTACAACAGTTGCACCATCAGAAAAAGCTTCCTTCATAGGGACTCATTCAGCAACTCAGCATGCTGACAAAATACTAAGTTTTTAATCCAACTCAACTCCAAAATATATTAATTAGAAGTCAAAGACTTAAGTAAGCATCCTTCAGCATCACGTAGTTTGCAATGCAAACATATGCATGGAAATGAAATTGTTGTTTTGTATTCCCACAGGAGTGATACAAAAGATACGTAGAATTAATGACCACTTTTTTTCATCATAATGCTTACCATTAAAAGAAAAAACAAAAAAGCACAAGAAAAAGTAACAGAAAAATGCCATCCACATGTATTTGATTCCTATTTGAGTTCTTCTGGTACCATTTCAAGATACACTCTATGTATCTTGCAATTACAAGCAATGCAAACTCAGGGAGATGCACATCTTTCAGGAAGTTATGATGTTTTGATTCTGTTTTCATTTAAAAGCACGAGGGCTACACAGATGGTGGAGGGTCTAGAGGGAGCAGCGCTGAGCTCTGCTCTCTGTGACAGCAACAGGGCCAGAGGGAACGGCATGGAGCTGTGTCAGGGCAGGGGTGGATGGGGGTTAGGGAAAGGGTCTGCACCAGAGGGTGGTGGGCATGGAATGGGCTGCACAGAGCAGTGGGAAGCCCTGAGCTGCTGGAGTTCAAGGAGTGTTTGGACAGTGCTCTCAGATTTATGTTTGGAACAGTGTTGTTCCTGTGAGGAGGCAGAAGTTGGACTGGTTGATCCCTGTTGGTCCCTTCCAACTCAGGATGTTCTAGGATATCATTAAGTAGTGTCTATTTACGTTCATTCACTCATCATCATACTGCACAACTGCACCTGTTTGCAATGGTATAGTATTTCTCTTCAATTACCAAGGTTTTCTTCAACTCGAGTCAGAAGTATCATCCAGACACCTTTGTAAATGGCAGAATGTAATAATTTAAACTGAAAAATACATATGAGCTTCATCTGCAGTGATATGAATTCTGGTCTGCACTAAAACTGACAGACTCAAGCTCAGGACATATAAATTAAGAATATAATTTTCAGACTCCTGTGTTACTGTATCATTACAAATGACCTTTGCAGTACCCACCCCGATGGCAAACAGCAGCCTGGTTACTCTCTGTTTGCAGGTCTGTATGGGGACATATGAAAACCAAGAGAAAAACTGAAAATGGGAACTTTGAGTGAATTCAGTTCCTATACAGATGCTTACATTCCAGAAACAAAGGAAGTTAATATTAACTACAACCAAATTACTTTTTTATATCATCCATACAGAGTTTTAATGCACCTGAATTGTACTTTCAATATAAGCTTTCATTTTCTACTCCTACCCTGTGTAGGCATTAATCTCTATGGACAGCCCAAATCACTTCCCTGAAGAAGCTAAAATACCTGCTCATGAAACCCCTTACCTAATCCACCTTACATCAGTCCAATCCAAATACCTACTGGTTAGTTCACTTCATTTTTTTTTTTTTAAATAAATTACACACCCACTTTGGAACCATTTTAATAATTTTGCAACACTAGAAAATTTCACAGTGCTGTTATCTACCCTGTCCTTGAGGTATTCATAAAGTACCTGCCTGCAGCAAAGCATTTTTTCAGTACTGATATGTAAAATTTCCCCTTGCAGACACTACACTCATTTGAGGCTGCTGGTATATCACGATCAAATTTTTACTTATCTTCACAGTTCATTGCCTAGTGGATCCCAGTACTGAAATAATTCATTTGCTAAACTAAAGAGCTTAAAAACACCCTCAGAATCATGCAAACAAATTTGAAAATGCTGCTAGCCTCAAGAAACTACTATTCCATAAACAAATAAGCAACGTTAACCAAATATTTCAAGTTCTCTTTCCCCTTGCCCTCTGGCTTGTGAGCTTCCAAAAACTCCACTCATGTTTTCCCAGTTCAAATTTGCAACTGCAGGCACCACAACCGTACTAAAATAATTCCACAGCCCTCCTGATCGCAACAATTTGGAAGAAAAAAAAAATCGGTCATGACATCCCCTCACCAAAATGAATTCCTGCACTTCATTATCATAAAGGAATGCACATCCATCTGATCGTTTTATTTTTCAGCTTTGGCAGGTATACAAAGACATTACAAGCTTCAGGAAGCCTGTGTAATCCGGTGATCTAATTAGATGGAACGATGTTCTATTATGAATAAAAAAATGTAATAAGTGGATATAATTAATTTTATGTTGCTTTTTTCCCCCAACACTTTCCTGCACACAGACTTCTCTAAATTTCAGTACGTTTAAGAAAAAAAGCAGATTCAATTTCTGCTCCCACATCACCAATAAGAACTTCTCTTACTTTCCTTCGCCTATTTTGTCAGAGCTACACATGAACCAATCAACATCACATCAAGATAGGAATTTTGCAAGTTTCAGCACAAGTTGCATAACACCAAGGAAAAAGCCTGAGCAAATATTAAATGGAAGAGACGTAAGAGATAATGCAATGGCAATTAAGTGTGCTGTCTTAAGACAACTGAATGATTTTCCTTCTGTGTTTGCTCAATTATGACTTTTATTATTCTTGTTGTTAATATAGATAATGAAAATTGAGAAATATTTTCATCTGTTCAAGAGAAAAAAGCACTTATTCTGAAATTCTAAATTTTGAATATATAAATATAGCAGACACAAAACCTTAACTGTTGGCACATCTGAAGAACTTGACAAGTTTTTCTTGTTTATTACTGACTCAAAAGTATGTGAAGAGGAGGATGACTCCAGATCAGTGTTCAAAACAAGATCTCCTAAAGGCTAACTCATAAAAATGTCATGACCTACCTCAAACAAGATGCTCTGGCATCAATCTACCTCACACTTCCAGATGAGTACTACCATACAAAAGGAACCTATCACATAAATAAGGAGCTTATGAGTACTACCATATTAAGGAAGCCTATAAACAGGCAGGGAGCCAACTCTTTGAAAGGGTAGATAACTGCAGGACAAGGGGGAATGGTTTTCAGGTGAAGGAAGGAAGATTTAGGTTGGATATCAGGGGGAAGTTCTTTACTATGAGAGTGGTGAGGTGCTGGAACAGGCTGCCCAGAGAGGTTGTGGATGCCCCATCCCTGGAGGTGTTCAAGGCCAGGTGGAATGGGACCTTAGGCAGCCTGGTCTAGTATTAAATGGGGAGGTTGGTGGCCCTGCATGCAGGGGGGTTGGAGCTTCATGATCCTTCAGGTCTCTTCTAACCCACGCTATTCTGTATGATTAAAAGTACTGAAGTAACTGTATTTGCCCACATGGGCTGATGAATAACACTAACTGATGTGCAGCCTAAGCTTCACACTTGCCATTAATCTCTCGGTCATGACAACTACAGACTACTGCAACTAAGGGATGCAGTATATGAGAACTATGAATGCCAAGCAGAAAGGCACTTTTCAGAGATAGGAAAAGTGCCTTTCATATGCCTTGATAAAATGTGGAACACAACACATACTACTTGTTCAGAAAATACAATATTAGAAAGGAAACTAACATTCAAATACAAGAATTGGATTGAAAGAATGTCAAAGTCCAAAAAAAAAATCTAAGCCATAATATATTATGTTGACATATTAATACCATTTTTTGTCCAGTATTTATCTTTTATTCTCACCAACACGTTTTTCATCACTGTTCATCACTGCTTGGCCAGAACAAAAATATCTGTAATGTTTCAAGTCTTTCGAACAATAAAAGATCAGAGATACTGTTAAATCATAAGAAAAGGAGGTGAACCATGAACTAATAAGTTTTTTCCACAAGGAAGACATGCATGCAAACAAAAGCCCAGTTGCACTGGACTAGTTTCCCTTCAGATGTCAGACTTCTAAAATATTTCTTCTTGTACTTGAAAGGACAAATTGCTGATTGTCTAACTTGTAACTTCTCAAAATTCACTAAAAAATAATGAGCACTCTGACAGCTGTATCAGTGGCTAGCTATGAATGGTTCCAGCTGGTACAATTTAAAATAAAAACTGGAGACAGGGGAAAGCCCACATTTGTGAAGATGAAGAAATCAGAGAAAAGCCCTATGCTAGAACACATGATCTAAGAAGAAATCTATCACAGGCTTCGTATTCTGTATACCAGCTGCTACTTTCAGAAGCCATCTGCTTCATTTTTCTGCACACAAGTTTTTCTAATGCAGCTGCAGTGCTTCAGAAAAGCACTCACTTGGGCTGATGAGCCATCTTGCCAGTGCAGTTCACAAAGACACAATGTGGGATTTAAATTTCTTTATTAAGAAGAAGAGTAAAATCATTTTGAACTGAGTAACAAGTTCTTTCCATGAGTTCAGGGATTTAAAAAAGCTTTCTTATTCTGCCTTAAAAACATATTTGGGTTTAAATTTATATCCCAATATAT